CTGCCCTAGAACTATCAAGCCAAGAGAAGTCATACACCAGAACTTGCAAGATCCCAAACAGCTAGGAACCTCCCAAAGAATCATCGTCTACGACAAGCTGGTCGAATTGCAGAAAAAGTCTCATCAGACCCTCCTACCGTACGCAATGAGCATAATGATGCCCATCAAGCTGTAGCCTTCGCAACTGAATCTCGCGCAATAGWAGCTATAAGCCTTGCCCAGATGAGGGAGATGTTTGAAAGGGATTTTAACGAATGCGCCTGGCCCAGCTTAAGGCCAGACATAAGAGAGACGCTAGATTTTGCAAAGTTTACATTGACTTCATGGAGAAGACAATCAAGGAATTTGCTGAAAAGGATATCACAAGATGCGAAGCAAGTCSAAGGCCGTATCAATAACGTGGCGCACGACGGCGTCTATTTAACCAAAAAAGCCAGACAAAATTCGTGTCGTCTTCGACTGCAGCGCAGTATACAAGGGATCAAGGGATCAAGGGATCAATCGAGCAAGACCCAAAGCATATTGGCATACATTACGTCAAATTCTTCCATCGAAAGAAAAGGGCACAGAAATTGAAAAACTACTAGTAGATGGTAATCAAGTGAACGATAAGTCAAGCGTGGTTAATTCACTTAATGAGTACTTTACTACAATTGCATCTTCACTGTTAGCAAATCGGCCATCTCCAAAACTAAAACAAACATCTCAATTACCATCTCAGTTCTTCAGATTCCAACCTTTACTGGAGTCAGATGTGTACATGGCCCTCAAGACAATAGATCCTACCAAGGCTACTGGTGTAGACAACATCCCGTCAAAGTACCTGAAGATCGCCGCATCCCACATTTCTGCGCCTTTAACCAAGGTATTCAATCAGTCATATARATGCGGGCGATTCCCCTCTGCATGGAAGATTGCCAAAGTAAGTCTTGTTTTCAAGGGAGTATCAAAATTTGAACGAGACAACTACAGACCCATATCAGTGCTTCCGTGTGTTTCCAAGATACAAGAATCTCTTGCAAACAAGGCCCTTTTTAACTATGCACAAGAATTTGGTCTTATAAAACAACACCAATTCGCTTTTAGGAAGCATTCATCAACAACGGTTGCACTAATTCAAGCTGTAGATTCATGGAAAATGGCTATGGACAAAACAGAGAAAGTAGTATGTGCATTCTTGGACTTGAGGAAAGCCTTCGACATCATTGATCATCAGATCTTGTTACAAAAGCTTACTCGACATGGTGTCACTGACAAGGAATATGAATGGTTTGAAAGCTATCTGTCTGAAAGAACTCAGTTTGTTTCTTGTGGTNATGCGGGCGATTCCCCTCTGCATGGAAGATTGCCAAAGTAAGTCTTGTTTTCAAGGGAGTATCAAAATTTGAACGAGACAACTACAGACCCATATCAGTGCTTCCGTGTGTTTCCAAGATACAAGAATCTCTTGCAAACAAGGCCCTTTTTAACTATGCACAAGAATTTGGTCTTATAAAACAACACCAATTCGCTTTTAGGAAGCATTCATCAACAACGGTTGCACTAATTCAAGCTGTAGATTCATGGAAAATGGCTATGGACAAAACAG